AAAGAGAAGATGGTCGATGAATAGTAGTGATAGCTTGGACCTTGAGCTGTACATGATTTTTTTAGGCCTTCGTCATGGTTGTGGGCTCCTGAGATGTTCTTGGTAACAGTATGATCGACTTCAGGTCCATTCTCAGGGTTGGGTGCATGATAAGACTCATTTATCCTTGTGGATCCATTGGAATTTTCTTGAGTGATCTCTTTGGTGAGGAGCTTTCATTTGAGTTCTTCATGTTTTATGAGTGAATGATGATCTGCAAAGAATAGTTGAATTCGTCTGCCACACTCTTTTTTCTTATTTTTGTCTTTGGGACTTGCTTCATGGTTAAATTCGGCCGGAAACTTAATCCAATGCTTGTTGAGCTCACCATTTTTTATAATTTTTTTATTGACATCAACAAATATAACAATAAGGCCCACATTCCTTTGATAGGTTTTAGGCCTAAAAAAAGTTTGGGATGGCACTGGGATGAACGGACTGGATAAATTATTATTCACATCCGGAGTAAGAGGACTGAAAAGACCTGAACCACTTCACTCTCACCTGAAGAATCTGAATCCGATGACTCGGAATTAAGGGTAGAGATTGCTAAGTTAGATGGACTTTCAACCTAAAATCAATTGGTGATAAGTGAATTGATCTATTTATCTTATGTACTAGTTAATATTATCTTCAAATTCTGATATGAAATATTTTGTGTCTAATACACCCTCTCGAAATTATTGCTCTTTGAGCGTTAACCACGAAATAATCGGGGAATGATCGATGAACCATCTTTGGACCCAAGATCGGGTTGGACTTTGTGGATCGTAGGTTCCGATATGATGTTAAGATAGATGAATTTCTAATCTAGAGATAATGACATTGGTGATTAGTGTGTCTACATATGCTTGAGGTACTTGTCTCGCAAGAAACATAGAATCGAAGGTTTTTTAACTATGAGACTAGAGTGTGCCTCATTGTCTTATGTAAATGGATGCTCACTTATAAATTCGGCATTCCTTATAACCAAAAAGTTCATAGTCCTCCTAACCTGGAATCAGGATTTGATAATATTTTTGAGAAGTCTTGGATTATAATAGAAGTCTAAAGTTCAACCTCAGCTTCGATGTATTTTTTATATGCCTACACGATTTATAGATGAACCCAGGCACGTTTTATTTTTGATAAGAAATTTACGTAGTGGTTACGCGTTATCAGCTTACAATTCACTTTGCAGAAAGACTAAACAGTGTGTAGGCATGTTTGTATATATAGTTTACATAATAGTTCCATTAACACGTTTTCTTCTTCATACATTTGGCTATAAGATCTAATAACGAGAACTTTATATATAATAGTACAGCAAGGGTAATACATGCTTCCAAAATAGATATGACTCTCCAACGAGAACGTGCGACCATAAATGCATAACATTATTCGAACAACATAACATGATTCATGCAAGTGGATAGAAAGCTAAACGGGCCAAACCACACATTCCTTGGGGTGAATCCACGTCTCTCTTGATTCTCATGTAACCATTTTCTCCCCAAGTTTGTCCCCATGAGTTCTTCAACAACCAATACTTAGTCCCGTCTTCACTCATCCCGTAACCAACAACTGTAACCGCATGATTCAGATCCGTCCCACACTCTCCGTCAAATATGCCACCCCGATATTGCTTAAACGCAGGCCCGTAGCCATCTATCGCCACTGAAACTGGCTGTTGAGAAACTGCTTTTAGCAATGATTGCTCGTCATCACTTGGAAGCGTCTCGTATCCACTAATGGTAGCAGACACGGGATGGGTTGCAGAACAGGTTTGTTGTGATGCATGGTAAGGATAGTTATCCTCTGATGTGATTCCTTGGTTCTTGATTATGTACTCAAAAGCCTTCGACATTATCCCTCCCGCACATCCTTTGTTGAAGTCTCTGCTGCAATCCAACAGCTGCTGCTCCGATAGCGATAGTAGCTCGCCTTTCGCAATCTTTGTTATGCCTTCTACGGCTGCCACCGCCGAGAAAGCCCAGCAGACTCCTGTTCCATTTTCATAAATTTTATATATCATTAACTTATTAAAAAAAAGTATATATATATTAACATATATTCATTTTAAATGTGATGTAGACCGAAATATATAGTATATCATAAATGGTTTATAGCTAAAGTTAATGTCTATTAATTACCACAGTGGCCTTGGTTCTTAACAGATGTAACCGCTCCCTCCTGTCTCCAATCCATGCTCTCACCAGTGTCACTGACATTTTCATGTCTAAAGGACACTTTTTGGTCCGAATCCGACGATGAAATTCTTAAGACTTCTTTAGGCGCCACTAGCCCCGTGTACCTCGCCCGAAATTCCTCGTCGGTGAGGTCAGAAAACTGATTGACATCCAACTTGTACGTCATGTTCGTATTCATGTTGTGTTTCTCCACGAACTCCAAGTTCTTCTTAAAGACCTCAAACCTATTTGTTTTTTCAGATTCGTCAGAGTAGGCACGATGGTAACGAGCCATCCATTGTTCATGTTTTTCCGTGACAGCAGAAGCTTCAAAGAGTCCCCCACGAGAAGTGGCTCCCAAAGTTCTGGAACACAAAATAATGGCTAGAATCAATAAAGTGATCGAAGCCATTCTTGTGGAGAGAAAATGTATAAATGTATTTTAAAAGTATAATTGTTTGGGTTCCAAGAAATGAGTATAAGAAAGTGGTGTTATATAGACATTTGTGTATTGCGTGGCGCTTGTTTTTCTTTTTGAATATTCTAACGAGATTTTGTTAGGTAATCGTTGCCAATTTCAACACGTTAATAAGTCAAGTACGTAGCCAATCAAGTTACATTAAACTTCCTTTTGACTGAACCTCGTGAATCATGATAACAAGGCCGGGCCCCAAATCGGAAATGAGCTGGTTGCGGTGCTATGACTTATCAGTATTTTCCAAGTCGTCCTAACTCTTTTGTACTTTTGTAACTCTGGAAAACGAGCGTGACTCCAAAAAATCTATAAAATTCAGCGGAAATTATGCTTGGAAAAACGAATGGAGAGTCCAGTTTATTTGCCAAATCACGTTCTGATTAGTCTCATTCATTCGAGTACGATAGCCTTCCAATTATATCTTTGATATTAGGGAATATAAAAAAGTTTTTTTGTTATATGAAATTAATAAGAAATTAGGTTTTCATCCACACCGTTTATTACAGTCAATTAAACATGTTCCTCTGTTATAACTCTATAACCATAATAGTTTAATATTTTGTTACATGCAAACCTGTTCATCCGGAGAGAGTTTCATCGTGAAATCATCTATGGAAAATTCATATATGTTGCAGGTAGTTAATTAAGATGTAATTATTAAATGTTAAAAAAAAAACTCTACACCCAGAATTCTGTAGTTATCACCAAAACATAATTTCTAAACCCTTTACCAAGTAAAAAATGCGATGTTACATTTTCTTCCCTAACAAGGTTATATATAATCCTACCAAAACTGCAATTCTATATATATATATATATAGAATTAGATAATTTCACATTTAAGAAATCTTGATCCATAATCTAAACTACATTATAGTTTCTCATGTCACCTCATATGAAACAATAAAACATTAAATGAAACAATAAAACATTAAATTTGGTATAATCTCAATTTACTAAAACATCAGAAATATCTCATTTCATTCAATTGGTGTTCACGAATAGTATTATATCAAATTTGGTGTTGTTATTGGATTTACCCTCGATAAGAACCATTAATTAAGTCATGATCACTTGGTATGTATTCGATCTTTTTGTAGAATCCGGTAAACCGGATCGACATAAACGATAAAATAGAATTGGAGTTAAGGAAATAGATGATTCAGAAAGACGATAAAAGAACATGGAGACGAGATATATTTATTTCCTTAACTCTGAATATTCGCTCAGTAGTGAGACGAAACTGTACGAATACCGAGTCTCGGGATATAACCATGGCAACAAATCACGCTTCACTCGTGAAACGCCCTAACGAACTAAATAATTACGAAACACTCTCTAGACTTACTTTGGGAGTTTTTCTGTTGGATTTCTTGCTTGAAAATGTTGGATATGAAGGAGGAGGAGAGGCAATATTTAAAGAGACGGAGAAGATCCACTTCCTGCAACAACTGCTGCACGTGGGCAAAAATCTCGTTGAGATCTCGGAAGTGGAAGCTGAGAAACTTTCTCCGCAAGATCTTCTCTTTTTTTTTGACTCGTTCAAATTGTTTGCGTGTTGTTTGATTTGGTTGTGCTTAATTTGGTCCAAAAAGATAACTTTTATCAGCCCGAACCAAATGGCAGCAGTGGCACTCACATGGAGAGCCATCTCTTCCTCTGGCTCGTTTGAACCAAGGTAAGTGTGACTCCATATATATACTCCTCTCTGATGCTAGTATTACCCGATGTGGGACTTTGGTGATTTTGTCACTTAGACAAAATTGCAGTGTTTATGAAAACACTATGCTACCAACTTCTTTGCATCATTTCTTATTCAATTTTGATCTGTTTTAAGGTGTGAATATACGTTGTTGTAGTACTCATTACAAGCTTTCCAACGAGCTGATGATCTGACCGGAGTGACCACTGGTTTGGCCAGAAAAGTCGCCGGAAAATAAAAAATGATCAGCTTTTATAAATAGAGATCCAACACTTTTCTCAGTACTTTCCAAGTCGTTTAACTCTTGTAATTTTGTAACTCTGGTAAACGAGCGTGGCTCCAAAAGAACTTTTAAATTTCAGCGGAAATCATGCTTGGAAAACGAATGAAAAAGTCCAGTCTATTTGCCAAATCACGTTCTGATCAGTCTCATTCTTCCAGTGGACGATGGCCTCCCAAGCTATGCCAATAAAATAGAGTATTTTTTAATCTTTTTTGTTATATGTAATTAATAAGAAATTAATTTTACATTTCCACACCTTTTGTTGCAGTCAACCCAACTTGTCCCTTCGCCATAACTCTATAACCATAACTAGTTTGATATTTTGTTTAACCGAAAAAAGATTTCTTCTCTTCCTTGCAAAAAACAACACATTCTCCTCATCAAATACACTTTCCACAGTTTTGTTTACTCACACAAAGATTGTATGAAAGCAGTTTTGATTTCTCAAGTAAAGAATCTCCCCTATGGAATTTGCAAAAGCCCCCCAAATCTTTTCACAGTTTTCACAACACACACATACAATTATTTTCAATTAAATACACACATCCCTATTCACCACTCTCTTTCCAATCTCTAGCCTCATTTCATCAACCAAGGATTCAGACAAAGCTCATACTCACAAGCCAATTTGGCCTGCAATGAACCAGAGGACTCTCACCAAGAACCCCCACCTTTAACACCACCAGTCACTGAAATTTTTATAAAATCTTATGAGAACGAATGTTCAATCTTGGTGTGAAGAGTAACAACAAGGTCATGTGCATCATCCAAAAGCTTCCACACATCTAGTTGCCCTGCCATACTATGACACTCCCTTAGAATCTCATCCATACAGTTATACTTCTCTATTATCAGCTTTCTTCTCTGCAACACTGATGCAGCTATAGCATACAACACCAAATCATCCGTGGGAGGTGCACGCTGCCTTATCCTGCTCCAAGCCGACTTCCCCATCCCTGCTCTTATAGCAGCTTGGTCTGCCCACATCACTTCCCACAGACAAAACGTCTGGTCTAGTGTCAGCTCCCGTCTGAACATTACAACAACCATTCTGTACACAAAGAAACAGTCTTCTGCTTGAAGCTTCTCAAGGTGTCTATAAAGCTGAGAGTCTTTAGATTTGATTATCTTAGACACTATGTTGAGTTGTCTTCTGATTCCAACCTCATCAAGTCTGAAATTATGCCTAGCTTTCTTCATGAATCCGACAAAACACCAGAACGCTTCATGGTCATCAGGGATCACAGAGAGTATTGGAGAGAGAAGATCACTCATCCCTTGACAGTATCCAATGTCAGAGTCATACAAAGCATAGGCTTCAAGAACAGCAACAAGCCTAGCAGCTTGAAAGATCTTGTACGGTTCCAAGTGATGGTAATCTTTTAACCCCACAGCTTCAGCTGCACGACAAGCTCTGTCCTCAGATATAGCTGCTTGAGAAGGAGAGCAAGGAGTCCACTCTGAGTTAGCACGAACAGCATCTAGACGAATAATACGCTGCCACGTCACGAAATCCTCTTCTGTCCGAGGGATAGTAGAGGAGCTTGGTCGATTCACATCAGGAGTAGCTGAAGGCTGAAAGACCTGAACCACTTCACTCTCGTCTGAAGAATCAGAGTCTGATGAATCGGAGTTGAGAGTGGAGATAGTAGCAGTGGTGAAACGTCTTGAGCTGCTGTTGGCTCTCTCAACAGTACATGAAACTTCACTCATGTAGCCTATGTCTTCGTCGCTAGAGAGATACTCACGGGCGCTGACGACTTCGTCAGAACATAAACTGTCAGTGTCTTGGACTTGAGTCCAGTCATACTCGTTTTGCATAGTGTTTAGTTTGAGAGTCCCGTTGTTGTGTTTTTGAAGACGCTTGCATTCTCTGCGTAGTCTCTCGTACTCCTTTCTGCATTTGTAGAATCAAAAACTAAGAGAACAGAAATAAAAGAAAAAAACAAGTGAAGATTCTATCTCTCTTACCTTCTCCATGTTCTTATAGTAACTCTCTCTGCTTTGGAACTATTAAAACTATACCTGTAAGAAAGAAAAAAAAAAGTGTATTAAGTTAAGCTTCAACTTCTTTGGTTGCAATATAAAAGTTAACCACACAAGCGTGGTCAAGTGGTATGGCGGGTTTCGAGATTTCGAAACCTACCATCTCCACTTGTGTGGTCAGACAGACATGAGTATCTAATTCTCATTGCGAACAACCGGGTTTTGTCTGGCGCTGGTGGACACTCCACCCGCCAGACACCGGGTTAACAAAAAAAAAAATAAAAATATATATATATATATATATATAGAGAAGATTTGAGTATAGACTTACACTCCAAGAAGGAATGGCCAGACCTCACATCGAATACTCGGCTCAATACCCTACAAAGGGAAGAGAAGAAAACAAATGTTCAAGACTCAAAATCAAATACAAATGGTTTGTGTTAATGGTGAAGTGAAGTGGGTTCATGCATGAACTCACTCTTCTACGGACTTTCCTCAACAAATCAACACCTCCATTACGAAGTTTACCATCAGAAGTGAAGAATCTCTTCCACTGTTTAGCTCTGAGTGGTTTTTTCCTTTTCTTATGAGACCATGGTGATTTCAAACGAGCCCTGAAAAACATTGAAACAGAGGTTTAAATAGCTATATCAGATTCAAAAGGCAAAAGACTCTTATTCATCTGGAGGGTTTAAGAAGTCAAAATAAAAGGATTTGAGATTTTTTGGATCTAAATTAAATAAACAAGAGAATGAAAAAGACTAACCGATCAGAAAAAGAAGAGGAAGAAGGAGATGAAGATGCGGCAACGAAGAGAGCAGAACGCAAATGGATCCAAGAAGATGAAGAAGGTGAAGAACGAGGAGATGTTAATGGCGATGAAGGATTAGATGAAGATGACGTCGTTTGAATCCTTCTCAGAGCTTTCATCTATCTTCCTCCTTCAGATTCAAACCTAACTCAAACCAACCTTGAAGCAGACGACAACTTTTAAGACAAAAAGAAAAAAAAGAACAGAACAACAGTTGCCGTCTTGTAACCACCGTTTCTGCCGGAGACCGATCAAGTACGTTTTCTTTCTTCTCTCCTCGTTTACTTTTGCTTTTTGTTTTCTCTCTCTAGAAACGTGGGCTTTCTAACTCGAGAATCTATGAGAAACAAAAAAGAAAGTCTCTTCCGAGTAATTACAGTGGACGCTTTTGTTTCTCTCTCTTATGGACCCACTCACTCTGATTTTATAGAATTTGCACTTTAACTCTCTTTCTTTTTATTTATTATCATACTAGGTGTTTTGCCCGCACTTGCGGACTTAATAATTTTCTAATATCTATATTCAAATATAATCAGTTTAAGTAAATTATAATAAATTATTGTTCATACACTCAAAATATTTAATAATAATCTAAACAAATTCTTTCTATATATAAATTTTTTCTTCATCATATAAATATTTGTCATACACAAATTAAATGTGAAAATATTCATAAATTTAAAATATTTAGTAATAAATTAATATCATATTTAGACATAACAAAAAAATATAATAAAATTATCTTTAGTAATGTAAACTATCTATACATAAATTCTTTGCGAATTATTTTTTCATAACTAAATATATATTAACAAATATAATTATTTTTCAAGGTTAATACAGACTTATAACAGAATTATAAAAAATTAGATAATGATAATTATCAAATTCATGAAATTCGTTTTTAATTATAATTAATTATATATTAACAAATATAATTATTTTAAATATAATTATTTTTAATGTTGATAAAGACATAATATAAAAAAATTAAATAAGTATGATTATCAAATAAATGAAATTCGTTTTTAATTTATAATTAATGATACATTACTAAAAATATAATTATATTTCAAGGTTAATAAAGATTTTATAACCCAATATAAAATAGTTTTAGATAAAGATAAATCTAAAATTATTGAAATTCGTTTTTTACTTATGCTTAATTATATAATGAATTTTTTAATTATTATATAGTAATAAATTTTTTTTTGGTCAAATGGTAATAACTATTAGTCATTATATAGTAATAAATCTAGTTAATCATTAAGTTTATGTTTGCTTTGTCATTAAAGGTAGTAAAAATCATAAGAACATGACAATTAGATTTACTATCCTTAATGGCGAATCAAACATAAACTTATTGACTAATTAGATTTATTACTATATAATTAATAATTCAATTTATTATATCATTAGTCTAGATAATGATAATCATCAAATCATAAGAAACATGACAAATAAGATTTCTTTCTAATTATTATATAGTAATAGATCTAATTAGTCATTATATAGTAATAAATCTAATTAGTCATTAAGTTTATGTTTGCTTGTCATTAAGGGTAGTAAATCTAATTAATATACGGTTCATAATTATATAAGAATAATTTTATTTAGTCATTAATTAAGGATAATAATTAATCATTAATCAAAATCATAAAAACATGATAAAAGAATTATAATTANAGTAATAGATCTAATTAGTCATTATATAGTAATAAATCTAATTAGTCATTAAGTTTATGTTTGCTTGTCATTAAGGGTAGTAAATCTAATTAATATACGGTTCATAATTATATAAGAATAATTTTATTTAGTCATTAATTAAGGATAATAATTAATCATTAATCAAAATCATAAAAACATGATAAAAGAATTATAATTACATAAAATCATGGAGAATATGATAAATCAGCAAATTCACCTTTTTAAATAATTAATTTATTGTTATTTATATATTAATTCAGTTTTAGTTTATGCTTTATTAATATCAACTATTTTTAGATAATAATAGTCATCAAATCAGTGAAATTTGTTTCTAATTTATGATTGATTATATGTTAATTAAATATATTTTCTGATAACAACACAATATATATAGGAATTATCTTTTTATTTTATTTTATTATTAAATATATATTTAAATTATGGATAATTCTTATCATTATTATTAATTTAAATCATTTATCTAATCAAATAAATATAAACTTGTTTTTTTTTATTTTTGGCTGATTTATATATTTTATCCATTAAGGGTATAAACGATATTAATCACTACAACTTTTAACGTGGAAGCTCCGTTGCGAAAAATCACTTTGAAAATTTAAGTGAATTATCTGATTTGTAATTTCTCCATAATTTAGATAATTTTGATTATTTGTCATATTTTTAATAATTTCATATAAAATTTATTATAAAATAAAAACGAATTTATATTACTAATTTTATATTTTTCTAAAATAAGATAATTCTTATGTATTATGTTGTGATGTTGAAAATATATTTCCTATTATAAAACTTGATATTAAGATATAAAAATTATACAATTAATAATTAAATATAAATCATCAAAGCAATTATTTGAAAAGTGAATTTGTTGATTTTTCTTCATGTTCCTAGAAAATTTTGATCATTTATCATAATTACTCTAATTTTTTTTTTATTGATTAGATAATTAAAACTAATTTATATTAACAATATGATATTTTAGAAAATAAGTTAATTCTTATTTATTATGTGTTATCTCGAAAATAAATTTTTCTATTATAAAATTTAAAATTAACATGTCAAAAAAATCTATACAATTATTTAAAAAATAAATTTAATGCTTGTTGATTTCTCATATTTTCCATGATTTTAGGGAATTTTTGATATTTTATCCTAATTTCACTAATTTTATATATAATTTATTATATTTTTAAAACAAATTTATATTAATAGCATCATATTCTTAGAAAATAAGATATTTCTTATGTATTAAGTTGTTCTCTTGAAAATATATTTTTCTATTAGAAATTTAAAATTAAGATATAAAAAGTTGTAGTTATTTTATAATTGATTAAATTTACATTAATAATACATAATAATTAACTTATTTTATAAAATATCATATTATTAATACAAATTATTTTTAATTATATAATTAATAATAAACAAAATTATATAAATTCCGATAAATGATCAAAATTACCTAGGATCATGGAGACAAATATCAAATTCACTGTCAAATAATTTTTTTGATTATTTATATTTAATTATTAATAATATAATTTTCATATCTTAATTTTAAGTTTTATAATAGAAAAATATATTTTCAACATAATACATAATAATTATCTTATTTTAGAAAATATCAAATTATTAACATAAATTCGGTTTATTTATATTTAAATATTCAATTATTAATAGAAATTCGTTTAAGATAAGTATAAAAGTCTTTATATCTTAATTTAAAATTTCAGTTTTATAAATAAAAATATATTTCAAGATAATAACATAATTCAATAACAACATAATNTAAGATAAGTATAAAAGTCTTTATATCTTAATTTAAAATTTCAGTTTTATAAATAAAAATATATTTCAAGATAATAACATAATTCAATAACAACATAATTCACAAGAATTATCTTATTTTCTAAAAATATGATATATTCTTATAATTTGTTTTATTTATATATAAAATATATAGAAATATTAAAAATTTGATAAATAAACAAAATAACCTAAACTTATTGAGAACATGACAACTAAGCAAATTTATAGAAAATAAGATAATTCATATAAATTCGTTTTATTTATAAATAATATATATATATATAAATATTAAAAATATGATAAATAAATAAAATCACCTAAATTTATGGAGAACATGACAACTAAGCAAATTTACTTCTTAAATAATAGTATAGATTTGGCTTCATTTTTTTTTGACGTTTTGTGTTTGTTTTACCTTTTTGTTATTTGTGTGATTGCCCCTTTAGTTCATACATTTCTTTTCTCTCGACTTGTCTATTTATGGGTCAAATCTGGTTTGAGAATTGAGTTACACATATGGTTATTTCTTAAATTTATTTTTCCCGATCAAGAAACATATCAAATTATGAATATACTCCTACGACTAGTTGACTAGTATTATTTTACGTTATTGAGGAAATTATAATTTTCATTTCTAATTTTCAGAATTCTAAACAAAGGTTTTTTAACAAATTGGTTAAAAAAACACTCATTTTGATCAAAAAAAAAAACAAAAAAAACACTCATTTTTTTGTCACAGAAACAACACGCAATTTTAGGATGAAAAGTAATATGCTATTTTTGATTGACTTTCTATCAAACAAAATAATGATAATAATAAATCTAACAATTAAATAAATATAAATAATTGTGGGGAGAAAAGCTCATACCATGCCTTTTTCTTTTGTCATTCTCACATGTTAAAAACAGAGAGGATGAAAGGTCATAAATTAATTCTGATTTACTATTGTTTTAAATAAAAATAGTAGTTAACTCTCACATGTTAAACAGAGAGGTCGGTAATAAGTTTATTGATTAATTCTGATTTACTATTGTATCAAATAAAAATAGTAGTTACTCCAATTTCAAATAAAAACCCCATGCCATTCCTTCTTTTTGGCCATCCTCACATATCATCTTCAGCTTAGAAGTTATTGTCAGGTTCGGACTAGGCATAAATTAGTTGAGTTGATTCTCGGTTTCATTTGTCACATGTTTAACTCCTACTATCAAATATAAATAATTAAAATTTTACAATTACAAATCAACTGTTATGTTTAGAATTAATTGTTATGCCTTGTAATTATAATGTCTTAAAATGTATATGCAAATTTGGTCAAAAAATGTATTTGCACTTTCATTCCCATTCTTTTCATTTATTATCTATTTTGCTTCTATCTTTTTACGCTTTTGTCTTTGTGTTTACCTTTTGTTATTTGTGTGTTTGCCCCTTTCGTTCATATTTACATTTTTCTAGACTGTCAATTTTGGGCCATATCCGGATTGGGAGTTTGAAGTTAAATAGTTAAGATATACACACATACGGTTATTTCTTTAAAAAAAAATCCCAATTAAGAAACATATTAAATTATGAATATACTCCTACGACTAGTTGACTATTATTTTACGTTATTAAGGAAATTATAAATTTTTATTCCTAAATTTTCAGAATTCTAGACAAAGTTTATTTTTGAATTTTGATTTCAAACAACACTTATTTTAGGATGAAAGGTAATCCCCTATACATTATTTGTGAATTGGTTTTGCCACATGTCCTCTCTAGAATCAGTTTCACAAAAAAATGGTGACATGTCTACT